TACGCAGGCTTCTCACTGTTGTGGCCTCTCCCATTGTGGAGCACAGGCTCCGGACGCACAGGCTCAGCGGCCATGGCTCACGGGCCCAGCCGCTCCGCGGCATGTGGGATCCTCCCGGACCGGGGAACGAACCCGTGTACCCTGCATCGGCAGGTGGACTCTCAACCACTGCGCCACCAGGGAAGCCCTAGAATGTGTTTTGACACAAATGTTTTTCATAAATGCAGAAGTTAGAGAAACATAAATAAAAAATTACTTTCTAATACAAATCAATCATCCCGATTACCTGGTAAAAATCGAGAAAAGTCTTTATTAACGACTTCTCCAGGAAGAGGTGACATAACCCATCACAGCCATTTAGGATAGAGATTTTAAACAGCAGCTGCCTCGTACTTAGCTAGTGTGTACTTATTAAAGAGGAATCATTCTGTTTTTCAATTTTTTTGACTCCAGAGAGCTAGAGCACACTGGGGAAACCATAACAGCTCATACTTTGAGAGTGCTGTTCTGGGAATACCATGGAGAGATCTGATATTGCACCTTTCTTCCAAACATTAGAGCAAACAAAACGCAGTTTGTCAGTATTGATACGTCAATCTTTTACAGTGTATGTTGCCTCTATGGTTATAGACTGGATAACAGAAGTGAATACAGTAAAACCAAGTAAAGTGCAGTTTTGAGGGTGACCGGCAATTGAAGTTATAGGTAAGTCTTTATATGTAATGGATTTGTTTTCACACCGGGAATTTTTTTTCCGTTCCAGTACGTGTACTGCTTATTAATGAATTCCAATCTATTGAACTTTAAGCATATAAAACTTTCCCCCATTTACCTTCTGAATGAAGGCCTGCTGAATTTAATTCATATTGATTTCAGCTTCACAATTAGAATGTTAACAGTATGGTGAAAAAATTCTAACGATGGATTTTTATTCCTCAATGCTACCTGCAGTTTACTTGATGATATATCACCCACCAACGCCAGAGTTTTCCTTTGACTCTGGAAGATCAATGATGATAGTTGCTTGACTATGTTCTCCTCATTGTAAAGAAGAGGTGATGCCACTTCAAGGAGCACAACTGAGAGAGTGAGATGCAAAATAACCACACTTTTAAATGTAGTTTAGTGAAAAAAATGCACCTGTGCATGAAGGGGTGATGAGGTTGTTGCTATTTTGATTTTTCTTGATTCAGTAGTTTTATTCTGCCCTAATTCCATGAGGGCAGAGGCTGAGGAGATTACACCCCAGTAAAAACCATGGTCAAAGGCTCTGCCCCTCCACCTCTCTCAGCAGAACAAAAGGAGAACAAAATAAATCATTGTCAAAGTATCACTAACAAATTTATATCTATATTGACCTATATATTGTCTACCTACCTACAATCTATTTATCTATCTGTATCTCTATCTATATGATATAACCACAATATGAGGGGTATATAAAATGGCAAAATGTATTGCTCTAAGAAGTCTGCAACACAAAAATAAACGTACAGTAGAGTGAAATGTACTCTACATTGAGTATATTCTATATTTATCTGACTTACAGTAATTACCTTAATCAATGCATATTTTTTGTTACATAAAAACAACAACTAACGACGAAAGAAGAATGTGACATTGAGATTGAAGGGGTTCGGAATGAGCCTCCCCAAAATGTGCCACTTTGGTGTATGGATTATTTTGAGCTGAAGACAGTCAAGGTCCAAAAGACTCAGGAGGAGCTTTTAACCTCTCACTTAATTGCCTAAAAGAATTTAGACGGGGGGGGCGGGGGGGGCGCGGGGGGGGGCCTGGCTCAGACAGGGAGATAACTTTATCTGAATGACCGATCAGTGTAGCAGGGCAAACCGTTAATTACCAAACATCTGCTCTTCTTATCGTCCTGTGACTCACCTTCCTCCCCTTGGAAGCCCCAGGCCCCTGTCCCTTCCCTTAGCTCAGGATGCCATATAAGCCTCAGTTGCCAGACTTGCCTTTGGCTCTCATGGGACTCCCATATATATAAAAAATTGTTTTTCTCCTGTTAATCTAATGTCAATTTAATTATTAGACCAGCTAAAGAACCTGGAAGGTTAGAAGGTAAATTTTACCTTGCCAACAAGATCATATAAATAAACAGTTCATCGTAATCAATAAGGCATTTGAAACGCTTAACTGGAAATTAATATTTGTGACATAAATCATAGAGAATTCTAATTAGTTATTGATTCTACTTTATTGTGTAAGTCATTACTGTCCTCCAACAAGTCTCTGGCAATGTTTTCAGCAATTTAATGCATTCTGGTATTTTTTTGTTGGGTGCTTATGACATTATTTCTGAAGTCATCAGTCTAAATCTTAATGCTACCTTCGGAGAAAAGTTTTCTGTATGTTACCATGAAAACTACAGTCTTTTATTTGCTGGGATTACAAACCGACACCTTGTCAGAACCCAAAGTTTTCAGTACAGTGGTTCCAACCCATTTCCAATTTATTTGTATTAACATCTTGCTTTCTTTTTGCTTAGAAATTTAACTGTTTTTATTCTCTTATTCAAATATCCCATAGTTTTAGTTTTCTTCTATTGAATATCAATATTTACATATATATGTTTATGTTTAAATAAAAACAACCTTACGTTAAAGGCATATTTTCTAATTTTTCTAATCCCCGGAACAAGCAAGATTAGCTTCATAAGATCATGACTCGGGCGATTTTAGTGTGTGGTTACTGGCATTTGTGGGCAGAAAAAACAATGGAAGCATGTCTCCTCTTTCTGACAAATGAAACGGTCAAAGCAGTTCCCCTCCTTTTCTCAATCCTCTAATCCTTGTGCCATTAAAGATTTTCTCATACAAATAAATAATACAAAAAGATAATAAGGACCTATTAAATACAGGTAGTCAAGTTGGTGATAAGAGGGTTCATTTAAAATATAAAATGCAATTCTGAAAGTGACTAACGTGGTTCTGACTGCTTTTCCTTGCAGAATGTATCTTTAGTCATTCATTCCCACTCATCAAATCCCATTATTCTAGCTTTGAAACTCTGGCAGGCAAATACTGCTTTAAAAATACACTATTTCAGTTTGCTTGTTACAGAAATTTTTTCTTTTTTTGTCAAAACATTTAATGTTGTTAATATGAGCAAAAGTTAATGTATGAAAAGAAAAATATTCTGAAAGGTTATGATGGCCATTCCTTCACCAGATATTTATTGCGTACCTAGTATGTTCAAGCCTATTATGCTCAAAAAAGGTTTGATGAGTGTTTTCAGCTGTGTTTTTTTAGCCTTATTTTCCTTAGTTCCTGCTTCCTCCTGTCTTGGTCAGCTGTTAGTTTCTTGCGGCTGAATATTTTATCTGAAGGTTAAGTTTATGAATTTAGGACAAAAGGGAAAAAATAGGAAGAAAACCACGGAAACTGAGTTCTGCTGCTGTTGATCAAATACCTGCTCTCTGTTCCTCTGATTCAACTGCTAAGCAGTCAGTCAACGCTTTATCATTAGGAAAAATACAGAAGCGACAATTACTTACACTTGTCTCCTGCCCTGCACCCTCCCATATGGTTTCTATGTCAAGGCTTTGGCTAAACCTTAAAACTATGAGTAGGTTCATGCAGCATTTCATCACAGAGCTGGAAGTCAGCCTCCTGAACTGATATTCAATCCTATTATGGCAACAAGATGCCAAGAAAGAAATCCTTTGTAAAACACAGCATGAAACAGACCCTGGTATTAGCTACTTTTAGCTTCTGATAATATGTTTTGTATAATGTTTTAGTCAAATTCCTGTGCCAAAGCGGGTCCTCAGCCCTTGGTGATCTTTGGGATAATTTTTACCATGAGTCTATGAAATGATACCTTTAGCAAAGCCACGGTAAATCTCAGAGCTCCCACTGTGGCCAGTGACAGCCGATAAATGGAAATGGAGGAAAAGCAAGCAATGCAAATACAAAGCAATTTACGTGGCTGGTGGTCCACCTGTAGGAAGCTAAAGGAGGTGCTTTACGGTTACTTGCCTTGCAAACTGTAGATTTCTCCAACGCTGTTCTGCCGAGTGATGTGATGCCAGTATGCACTGCGAGGAAGAGATATTGATTTGGATAACGTCATTGGTTCAGTCAAGCTTGTCTGAAGCTAAAAGAAAAAGATAATGTGTGTTAGACTTTATTTAAAATATTAAACTGAAAAGTGTTCTTTTAAAAGTTCAGCGTGAAACGTGGGTGACATATGATATAATGTTACAGATTCCTACATTACCTGCTGTTTCAAGATACCATTTTGTTTTTTTTGGAGGGGGGTGCGTGGTGCGCCGTGTGGCTTTCAGGATCTTAGTTCCCCAACCAGGGATTGAACCTGGGGCCACTGAAATGAAAGCACTGAATACTAACCACTGGACTGCCAGGGAACTCCTAAGATATCATTTTAAAAAAAGGAAAATCATGACTTAAAAAATATGAAATGAACACTTGTAAACAATTAATCTCACTCATTAATTAAGAAGGGAACAAAAAGATGGTAGACTGATTCCAAGGAGAATTCAAAGGGCTTATAGCTGGTCAGGAACACTGGTAAATAGCCACAGCAATAATCAATTACATTCCATCAAACAAGTTTATTTGCATTTCTGTAAGCAAGAATTACCTGCATTATTGATACTATCGGCTTTCTACAATTTATTGAATTGTAAAATAACTCAAAATATGGAGGTGCAAGCCCTTTCAGAAACAGATACCCCCAAATGGTGCCAAACACAAGATACCATTTCTTTTTACGGTACGCGGGCCTCTCACCGTTGCAGCCTCTCCCTTGACGGAGCACAGGCCCTGGATGCGCAGGCTCAGCGGCCATGGCTCACGGGCCCAGCCGCTCCGCGGCATGTGGGATCTTCCTGGACCGGGTCACAAACCCGTGTCCCCTGCATCGGCAGGTGGACTCTCTACCACTGCGCCACCAGGGAAGCCCAAGATACCATTTCTTTTTCACCCATTTCATTGTTTGTTGGGCTGCACCCCACAAGCCTACAAGCCCTGTGCTTGCCCAGCTTCAAGACCGAAGAAAGAGCCCGGAGCTGGCAACAGAGACATCAGTGGTTTAATGGATGGGGGAGCTTACATGTCTGAAGCAAGGTCCTGGAGTGACACCGTACCATGTGCCGGTACAAGGTAGGCAGGACGTGGCAGGACATGGAGGCAGTCTTTGCTGTGGGAGGGGATGCCACTTATATGGGGATTGACGTCAGGTGAACTCATTAGTTACCAGGGAAACCAGCGGAGGGCATGCACCTCCCCGCCCCTTCGATGAGAACAATCACCAGCTGGGGCCTGGGGCACTTACGCAGGAAGGTCAGTCGTATGCATAGGGTGTAGGTGAAGCAGCCCTGATCGGGCAAGGGATGGACAGAGAGCAAGAGAGCAGCCATCCTGAATGGCCTGAACATACAGCGTCTTACAGTTTTTCCTGACACCTGCTCCCACCCTTACCCAATGGTTCTTTCCTCAAATAGATCTTTTTCCTTGCTCCTGCAATAGGAGTTTGTACGTATTAGAAAAAGTGTTTTCCCTGAGAAGTTCTGTGATAAAAGTGTGGTATATTTTCTTATTTTAAAGATAAACTGTAAGGTTAGCTACAGACATCCACACAACATCCCATCAGGTGATGCTCAGACACATGATTAGTTCAAATAGAATAATACTTTACATTGCATTTTCAAGAAAGAAATTCATTTTTACTGATTCACAGTTTTTAAAAAATATCCAGAAATGGTTTTGTTTGGCCTTCGTGCACATTTCTCTGATGAATCTGAGCAAACGTGTACTTTCTGACAGTGGGCAATCCTCTAATTAATAACATCTCAGGGCTTCCCTGGTGGCGCAGTGGTTGAGAGTCCGGCTGCCGATGCAGGGGACACGGGTTCGTGCCCCGGTCCGGGAAGATCCCACATGCCGCGGAGTGGCTGGGCCCGTGAGCCATGGCCGCTGAGCCTGTGCATCCGGAGCCTGTGCTCCGCAACGGGAGAGGCCACAACGGTGAGAGGCCCGCGTACTGCAAAAACAAACAAACAAAAAACAAAATCTGTGTTTTATGTGAGAGCTACAACTACACATCTCACAAAGCCCACAGCCCAGGAGGATGATTTTGGCCCAAAGTGTGCCCTATGGATATTCAGTTAATACCTTTATCTGAGCATCATACAGATAAGAGTTATGCTGTCTTCCAGTGGATAAGAAAGGAAACCACAAAGCAAAGAACCTCCTATTTAGAAGACTCTTAAAGATATAAACAAGGGTTGGCAGTTTCTGCTCACTCCCATTTAGGCAATATGTAAATATACAGATGTCAACATCTGATATGAGTGTACGATCTCAAAGAGGAGATCATTTCCTCCTGCAACCCGCTTCCCTCCCCTTCCCTAAACTTCAGAAAACTCTTTTGAAAACGTTTGGTTGAAAGGTAGTTGTTAGGAAAGAATTCTTCCTGGACTGCTCATGGTTCTGCATTTCTTGTGACAACTTTTGTTCCTTACTATTATTTGCTTGTGCAACAAATAGGCCTGGAAGAGCGTGTCTTTCTCC